GTAAAGAAATCAAAAGTCATTTAACAAAATTACTAAAAGAATGTACCGCAAAAGAACATGGCTGGGGAAAAAAAATAATTTCAGAAATGCTCTGAAAGACCTTAAGACCTTTCTGCTGGCAGCATAACAGCTCAATGCTGATGCACCTTGTTTGCTTTGATCTCCACTAAATGACCCTCGTCTGCTGACCTCACAACACTACTGAGTAATCCGTGATTTATAGACCAGTAGCATAATTTTAAAGTCCATTCTGCAGTATTGTCACTTTTGACAAACGGCGACCGAGCACATGAACCTTGAACCGGATATCAACCATATCAAATAGAAGACCAAACGATTACATGGAAAGCCCTTTGAGCTTTTATTCCATATCTTTGATATGGAGGCTAATAGTGTGTGACTCGTGCATACTAATTGGGCCTAGTAGTGCAACTCGTGCTCCTCGGTTGAAAAATGTCACTCGTTAGTGAAGAAAAAAAAAAAAAGTAAGACACAATTGTTCTGCTTGTGTGCCGTAGTCGTTCCACTGGTGTGCTAAATTGTCTTCCTAGTGAGGAAAAGGGAGTGTACTAGTAAAATATCGACGAAATGATCAAACGGATTTCCATAACAACATAGCATCACAATAGCATGACATCATGCTTTAAGGTACATTTTGTTTTCCCACTACTAGTGCGACTTTTGACCTACTAGTGTAAGCTTGAACTGGATGTCCGTGATATCCACCTGAAGGTGCATGTAGTCCTACGCTCTTCGACCTCACTAGAAAGACAACTACATGTTCCTAGTGAAAACTGTGCACTGAGTTGATCGTCACGTCCGTTAATTCCCAACATGATTTTAATTCTGATATACAAAACTAGGAAGCAATCATAGGGGCAGACAGACACGTAATTATTAGTCTGATTGTTTTGGTGATGTTTTCATCATTTTTTATTTATTTATTTTACTTTTTTTTGAATGATGATGCTAACAAGGTAGGGGATGTTTTTGCTGTTCAAAGTAGACAAAATGATTACCGTGATGGTTATGTTGAGTGAAATGTATTCTGCTTCTTATTGTCTTCATATAAAGATGGATGTACAGCCACTTTATATGTGCATGTGTTTCCATCGTTTATATGCTTTTGTACCCAAGGGCCACATTGGAATCTTCAGATTAAAAGGCATTGACTAAAAACAAAATCACAGTGCATAAAATATGTCTGCTAGTGTCATCGAAGTTTCTTCTTATTAAGTATAATGGATTGAATTTCATTTCATAAAATAAGGTTACATTTAGTGTAGATGTAAGACAGATTTTTTTCCCTTTTATTATTCAATAAAACTTACAATCTAAAATTGTGGGTGGTCAAAATGCTGAGTGGTTAAGTCGTAACTGGGGAAACAAGGAGCCACAGACAACGCATGGTGACCAAAACATTTCAACTGTTTAGCTTCCATTATAACATTCAACTCCAAAATCTCTTCACTATAGCATAACTGGCAACAATCATTTTATACTAAAACAAAATTTTTAACCCCCCCCCCAAATAAAAACTTGAATGTACTCACCAGAAATGCATATTGTTTGTAGACAAACTCCATCTCTTTTGCTCGCTCAGCTTAGAATGGTCAAAGCTAGCTATAGTTGCTGCCGCTGTGGAAATGGAAAATAAATCCGAGTTGAAACAAGCCAGCCAGGTAAAAGCGTTGTCCTCACATTGTCCAGTTTTTCAAAAAGTCCCCCTTGAAAATGAGCTCTTTCCATCATGTCTAAACATCGACCTCACCTGGCTTCACCTCCATGATTCCCATTTGAGTGGCTCTGAACCAACCAATCAGAGAACAGAAAAACGCTGACATCACCCAAAGTCCTCAGGCTGGCTGTTGATTGAATCTGAAATTTGATTGGCTGAGCTTGGTGGCGGGGGTGTGGAAACACGTGAAAGCTGAAATCTGAATGGCTCCAAAAATAATCGAAATTACTCACAAACAAATGAAAGCTACGCAGTCAAGGCTGAAATGAAATTAAATGAAGACAAAATACGATTGGAAATACACATAGAATTTTCTGTACGTTTTAAATGCGTGTCGGCGCTTTGTAATAATGTCTATGGTAGCAGAGAAGGCTTTCAATGCCCTCAGTGCACACCGCTGATGTAATGCCCTCGCATGTGGGCAAGGAGAGCCACAGTTATTGAATGTCATTGCAGTTTGTCGTTCCTCTGCCCTTAATGATACGGACTCCTTTTTTTTTTTTTAGGACGATGCCAATTTGCCGATTCTGACATTTGGCAGAGCAAAATTCTGAAAACCAATTAATCAGATGATTTAAAATTTTAAAAAAGCAAATAAAATAACTTATTTTTGGTCACTTGTGAATTAAAGGCAGAACTTTGACTGTGGCAATTTTTGTCCTTTACTTTTTGTTTAACTATATAATAGATGTCATTATCTTTGTTTTCTGTTCTAATGTTAAAAAGCTAATGTCTAAAGAGCTTAATAACATTTTTTTTTGCTTCCAATTTTTAAAGAGGTAATTTCGGCTGATTAATCGTTCAAGCTGTAGTAATCACAGTTCATAAAATCCCTTTTTTCATCTTCACATTTCTTGATATTTTCTTTCATGTTTGAATGTTTTTTTACATACACTACGATGCTTTTTTTCTTTATCGCAAACAAAAAGTGCTACAAGCTCAGCCAAAGTGTGCTTAGCTTATTATTTTACATGTTTTGGCTATTGAAAATATTATTGGGGGAGGTCATAGTAACGACAGCAGAGATTCGCCAATGTGGACTAAAGTGCATGGTAGCAGTTTACACACACACATACACACACACACGAAAACCCATCCAGATATTGTTGATATTGCCGCACGCTTGCTGATGTTTCCTCGTGAGATGTCATTACGCGATAAAGAGGAAGCCGACAGGAAACCACTTAAGCACTACTTCCTGCCTGTTACCTTAGCAACCGACCTCCTTCTGCTGCAGTCCAGCCACTCACTCATTCTGACTCGGCGAGACAAAGAGGCAGGTGTGCTCGTGGGTTCCTCGATGGGCACGAGCCCTCTGGCCTCCCAGCGGAGCAGCTGGAATTCAGCGTAACCGCCGACATCAACATCTGGCAGCAATTAATATGTTGGTGGGACAAGGGCAGGGCGGGGCGGGGGGGACCTAAATGGTCCCAGTGTCCACACACCTGCATGTCATTCATACACGACCACACCGTCACCGAGTTAGTGTTTACAGAAGTGAAGTGTTTAAATAATCACAACAGTGTAGAAGATTTGTTCACTAATATTATGGCTCGGTATTTATGTATATTTTCCAGGGAATTCAGAGATTCCAGATGTACCATTTTTTTCGAAGATGTCATCTTGTAGGGGAAATTCTAAAGCATGGCTGTGTGCTACAGTGTATCAATAACACTGATTTGACTTCACCCGATATGTATCTTCAATTCTTTCAGGACTCTAAATTACCCTTAAATTGTGAACGTGTGTGGTTGTCTCTCTCCACATGTGTCCCGAGATTGAATGGCGACCAGTCCTGGGAGTACCCCCCCATCTTGCCACAAATCAGCTGGGACAGGCTCCAGCGCACCAGAATGGGAGTAGGAATGGGCAAGCACTCAATGCACGTATTAGGATCGGACTGATACCAGACTTATTTTGAAGTATCGGGTTCTCGTCGAGGCTGACGATAGCAGCCACTGATACTTCGCAGTAGTTTGCGCTATACTGCGGTTGATTGACACATTAGTGAATCGGCATTTGCATCAGAGAGAAAGTTTTTCACTCACGTTTTTTTTTTGTCCAGCCATTCATCTTCTGATCCGCTTTATCCTCACAAGGGTCGCGGGGCGTGCATTTTATATGCATGTTGGAGGTGCTGTGGTGTGTTGATGCGCCTTTAAGGGGTGTGGCCTAGTGGGTGACACCGGGAGCTGGAGTCTGTTGGTGTTCTCATTTTGTATTTGTATGCTTGACTGTTTGTCCTGTTGAAAAAAATATCTGAAACTGCATCAGCAACCCTGGCTCACCTTGCCCACATGGGAGGGCATTAACGCACTTTTATTACCCCGTTTTTTTTCTTCACTGCACACTAAGGTTATTATAGCTCATGAAAATTAACAAAATGGCTATCATCAAACGGAAAACTATTTTTTTTTCATTTCTGAAATTCAAACGAAAGCGCTTTTGAAAAAGTGAAAACTGATTGAGGCGACATCTTAGTTTATAAAACCCGAAGAAACAAATTATCATGATAGTGAAAATGTCTTTCGTTTTCGTCTTTGTTAATTTATGTCATACATGAGCTTTTGGGGTTCAGCTGTTTGAGAATTGTAGTTAATTATGATTGGGTGACCTTTTTTTTTTTTTAATCTTGCTCTTGACAAACACTCTTATATGAAAAAAACTCAAACTAATACTAAAACTAAGGTCGACTAACCTGATAGAACGCATTTTTGACAAAATAGAAATGAATCTAAATTAACAAACCTGCTATAAAAAATAATTAAAAAAAAAACTGAATTGGAAAAAAAAAAAAAAAAATTTAAACTATCATGAAAAAAATCCCAAACTATTATAACCCTACTCCACACGAGCGAGGGTCGTATTCACTCAAATTTACGCTTGTGAAAGCAAATAAATAAATGAATAAATAAATAATCGTCAGGGCGACAGCTTGTGACTGGCAAAACTCACAAGGTGGGGCACTCGTAAGTCAAAGCGGCGTCGTACTTTGAGAAAACATTTGATAGCAAACAATCAGCGTATCCCCCCCACCCCCCCCGACACACATCACATCCACATTTTGCTTTTCTGCATTGAATAAAAGCGAGAACGTGAACGCAGCACTGACAACCGCATTCCAGGCGAGGTGAACCCACACACACACACACACACACACACACACACACACACACACAAAGGTCTAAGCCGCTCCCCATTCAGGCTGCTGCATCTCTGGCTTACATTCTTTGTGTTTTCACTTGTCAGGACAAGCAGACTTTTACAACGTCAGCAGTCGGCGACTTGATTGCGGGGACGCTACAACTTTTACAAGTCAATCTATGAGCAGCCAGTGAGAGAGAGAGAGAGAGAGAGAGAGAGACACACACACACACATTCACACACACACTCACGCACTTTACACTCACACACTTGAGCACTGAGGGGTGTGTCGAAGCACGTTCAGTTCCTCAAGGAAGTACAAGTCGTCAGTATCGCAAGGCGGAGTGCCGAGAAGCCAGCGGCGGCTGCTTTTGCAAACATGAAGCGTTGAGGTCACGCCAGTCTCCTTGTTGTTGCCATCCTCCACCGGATCAACCACGACACGAGGGGGGTGGGACGCCAACTAACGCAGGTAAGGCCACTCGCCAGCGTTCCACCCGTTGAAACTTACAACTCTGATGAGCTAAAAACCAAACGGACCGCTTTCCACTTCCCCTTGCCTGCGCTCGCGCGCACGACTCATACGTGCGGTTGCTCAAGTCGAGACTATGCGCTCCCCCACCCCGCTGAGCTTATTGGGTACGAGATGCTGAGAGACGACGGTGCAGACCAACTGTCAGCTGTCAGTTTCGCTTCCCGTCGAAGGGGCGTGGCCAAGGGGCCCGCGGGCTTGAGCAACGACCACTTGAGCAACGGCGCGATGTCCGCCTGGCAATTTCGACACGGCTTCCGAGTCAGGTCGCTTTGAGGAAGCGGTCGTGCGTCAACCTGCGTCTGGGAAGAGCGTGTGTTAACTTTTTACACAAAGTTATCGTCGTAGGAAAGTAGTAAAATACTTTGGTAAAAATGTTTCATTCCTAAAAAAAAATAGGCATTAACTATAACAGCACTTCTTCAGCATTAACACTGCTTAGACACAGAGGGAAAAAAAAGTTAAAGATTCCATTAAGCTGCATTGCACATAAAAGTTAAGTAATAATTGTCTCTCTAAAAAAATAATAATAATAATTAAAAAAAAAAAACATTCCAAAACATTGAATACAAATGGTTTGTACTTCAAAGTTAGGTACTGACATGTACTTCACAAAAGTAATGTGCTGGATTTAAAAAAAAAAAGAAAAGAAAAAGAAAAGCAGTTTTAGCAGAATTATGCACAGTTTGAACATTTAATTTGGTGATTCTACTCCTGCGAGCCTGCATACCCCACTTTGAGAATCACTGGTCTGGTGGTATCAAACTGAAGGCCCATGGGCCAAATCTGGCCTTCCATATCATTTTATCCCCCACAGATATCTAGCCATGAAAATGAGAGCCACATGCAAAGGGTCAATTGGAATACGACGGCGTGTCGGACAACAAAACAATAAATCTGCTCCCAAGTCATTTTGCTGCCCATCAAAATGCACACATGCTGTTCGATAAAGGAAAACAAGTGGCACTGCCTCACACTCTCACTGTAAACAGACACAGCGCTACTCTACTTCTGGCCAGCACCTGTCATGGGTCGCCATCGGTTGGATTTAAAGAAAAAAAAAAAAAAAAAGTATTTGGAGGGGTTTCGCTTTAACTGCAAGGTAGTCCCTGATGAAAATAAGTTTGACACCCCTGCTCTAGTGGGATGATTCTCTACTGGGTTTGAATTCCAAACGAGCACCCGAATTTAAAATAAAGTATAATAATGTTTCTGAATGCACCATGTCAGTTGAAGCAACTCTGAAGTATGAACTTGATTGTATTGTATGACTTCAAATACCTTGTTTATTTAATGGAAAAACATTTACCGTATATTTGAAATGGCCCCTCCGTCTGGCTAAATAAATAACTTCCCCCAAACTCTGCAATATAGAAATATCTTATTTCAATACACCCTACGCGTTTTTTATAGCATTTACGGCACTTATTATTTTTTTTTTTTCAAAAAAGGTCTTTAAACACACTTCAAAACTGGTACACACACATTTAAACACGTACAGTCTGATATATTGACAGAGCAATGGCAACACAAAAATATTCGAGTGCACTGCTATGGCTTTCCCGTTAAACTAATCCTGTTTTTTCCAGACTAACAAACATCACAATATACATTCCGAATTATGCCCAAAGATGGACATTAAAAAATGAACCGACAGCCTTTACTTGCTGTAGGTTTAAAAAGCAGGATTGAAGAGGATTGACCTTCCATCATTTTCATACTGTACTTCCTGTTTTCAATCGTCTTCTTTAGTCAAGGATACACAATGGAAAACTAATTAGTGTGTCTCTGGCTAGTGGTCATTAGTGGTATTACACCCAAAAGTTAAAAAAAAAAAATCACACCAACAACAAAACAGTCGGGCTTTTGATCATGTAAATGCTTTGTGGTCCAGATGAAAGAACTTGATTTTTTGAGGATTTTATTGTAGGTGTTCTTTGAGGTCATGTTTTTCTTTGAGTAAGGATTCTAATGATTTTTTTTTTTTTTTTTTGAAGGAGGTTTCTTCTTTCTCGGGGTCATTTGCGGAATCAAGAGTTCATTTGTTGATGAAGGTGAGATTTGTAATGTTTGGGAGTGTTATTTTTTTTTTTTCCAGAAGAGTTTTCTAATTGTTCTTCTTGGGGGATTTCTTGCGGATCATTTTTTGGTGTGGATTCCGGAGACGTGCTTGGAATATCTGCTGTGTGTACTGTAGTGCTGATGACATGTGGAGCAAACAGGCGTGGGCTTGCCTCAGCTATGTCACTCGCCTCCGCAACTTGCCAGCACAGGCAATAATTTGCACACAACAGCTTCATACATTCGCAATGGTTCGACTAGTTATGGACCAGCAGAGAACCAGTGCTTGTGGTCGTGGAGTTGGACCGCTCAATCAAAATGGGACTGTTCTACTCGGATAATAGAAATCGTTTTGGCAATACAGACTCCAAGGGCTTCTGGTCCTCGTTCAAGTCAGCTCATGACCACCAAAACCAGCAGACACTTCAACATCTTATTTTTTCCCCATCCTATTAATTTCTTAAACAGCATTCGTTCATTTGTGTTAATGTGAATTTTCTTGTCGTGTCATTTTTGCTTGAGTGCAAATATGACACCAAATATCGGAGGTAGATTTCTTGCATGCTTTAAGATAGTGAACCAATCAAAACACAGACCACCACATTTAAGATTTTGATCAGGGGTGTCTATCTCATTATTGTCACGGGCCACATCGTCGTTACGATTTCTCCCAAGGAGCCATTATCATTCTGAAACCGTATAAATGTACGCTGCAATGGCGTTCCCTCGTCAGATCCGACAAAATCAAATTGAGGAAGATGGCGAGATTCCAGATGCTGTGTCATCAAACTGTGGGACACCTCGGGGAGAAAAAAAAAAACGCATCCAGTCCCAATGACCTCTCCTGGGTGTATGTGTGTGTTGGATACAAAGTGTGCTAAACAATCCCGGTGGAGGGTAAAAGCCGCGGGAGAGCCACGTTAGTGCTGTTTTTCCCATTAGGCTTCACTCGTCGGTATGACAAAACAAGCAAACAAAAATGTGACACTGTCGCTCCACCAGTGTGATGCTTTACGTTACTTTGTTTCACGTTCATCCAAAACACATTCATTTGGTTTCCATGGCCAGAAGTTGTGAAGGGTATCAAAATAAGTGAGCAATAGAAGTCTCGGGCATGTCAGTGAACTCTTGCAGTATGGCCTTTCGATTCCGATTCCATGTTGTGATTTTGCGAGTATGCTAAATGTTGACAAAAGTAGCACTGTACCGCCATCCTGTGGCATCTTGGTACCAGGGAACTATGTTGAAGGGAGTCGAGGATCTTCATTTTGCCAAAGGTATTGCTTTGGCGCCATCTTGGTGCCAAGGAATTATTTCAAGGTGAGTTGAGGAGCTTCATTTAGGCAAAGGTAGTGCTTTGGCACCATCTTGGTGCCGAGGAACTATGCTGAACTTGAGTTGAGGAGCTTTTAGGCAAAGGGAGTATTTGGCGTCATCTTGGTGCCAAGGAACTATTTTAAAGTGAGTGGAGGGGCTCCATTTTGGATTAAGTAGTGCTTTGGTGTCAAGAAAATATGAAGTGAGCCGAGGAGCTCCCTGAAGGTAAATGGCGTGCTTTTGTGCCATCTTGTTACCAGGGAACTATGCTAAAGTGAGTTGAGGACTATGTTGAAGGGAGCTGAGCTTCATTTACACAAAAGTAGTGCTTTGTATCTTGTGGCATCGATAGCCGATTGTAAACATTTTCCTTTGGGGGTCGACAATCATAGATTTGCGTTCTTCACTGCAGGGGTGCATGGACAACACTTTTCGAATGAGGAACCTTGACCAAGAGTACTGTCGTTCAAGGGGCGGAGCTAGGCAGCGCAGCCTGCTGATTGGTGGAGACAAAAAAATGGACAAACACAAAGTCATCTTGTAACAAACAGGAAAGATGTGCCCCATTTTTGTTTTTTGTCAACGTGCTCTACTTTGTTGAATTGACTATGATGTCACGCAACGGAAGTAGTTGTTGATGTGCTCAGCACATTTAAGATCTACTCTACATTTTTTTCAACCTTCAACTGGACTAGACCACTTTGGTGGAAACATGGATTAAGACCGACGTTATTTCACACTAAGCATGTGACACTTAAGCTGGATTTACACGACATGCCTGAAGCGACACAATTCTGATGTTTGGCAGAATTTGTGTCAACGTTAGGGCGTTCTGTTAGCTACTGATGCTAACACCGATAACATGCCGCTTTACAGAGTGCAAAGAGGAGCCGGCGACAGCTGTTTTAAGAGATGCTAAATACAGAACGGCAATCGCGGTCCTAGAAACTACTCAAGATGTTATCCGTTGACTGTTACAGAGATAGGTGCAGCGCACACATTTTGTTTGTGCCACACTTCCTGTGTTGTTGTGTTTCACTTGGCAAGCGGCAGCGAGAATGTTGCCTGTCCTCATGCCAGCATGACTATTTGGATGATTATGTTTGTCACATATTAAAACCTGACGGGAGTACAAGGGCGTCTCGAGTGACAAACTTCTACAAGAAGGTCAAGTTTAAAAAAACCAAACAAAAAAAAAAAAAAAACCACAACAAGAACGACGACAAAATGTTCAGGTAGGCGGCTCAACCGGAGGGGAAGCACATTCTAAACTGCTGAATGTGTGGCTCTCAACTGTTGTCGTACTGCGATCCGCATTTCCCCACAGTTGCATTTGTGAAGAGAAGGTGTTGTTCAAAAAAACTTTTTTTTTTTTTTTTTTTTAACCGAAACGACAATTTACTTTCAGAGCTTCTTATTGAGGAACTGAAAATTAACATGACAACTGCAAAAATAAAAGTAAACTGAGAATCTTCAGCAAGAGCTTAAACCGAGGACCCCCCCCCTTAAGTTTTGTTTTGTTTTTTTGGGTTATCTGGTTTCAATTTTTTGTAGTCTATTTTTTTTCCTTTGCTAAAAATGATTTTTCTTCTTTTTTTCCTAAAAAAATCCAACAATCGTGCTTTTTTTGACAACTTTTATAAATTTAAAAGACGGTATTTTAGTGACTATACCATCGTCAAGCGAGAGCTCAGTCATTTTTTTTTTTTTTTTTTAAACGACCCATCCACACAGTTGATATTCACTGGACTAAATGAATCAATCGCCATGTCATTTCCAGACAACCATGGACCACTTCAGCTCCAGGGACACGGCCTTGAAGGTCCAGAAGAAGATCCTGAGCAGCATGGCGACCAAGACCTCCGTCCAGATGTTCATCGACGACACCACCAGCGAGATTCTGGACGAGCTCTACCGCGTCTCCAAAGAATACTCGGGCAACAAGACCGAGGCCCACAAGGTGGTCAAGGACCTAATCAAGATCGCCGTCAAGATCGGCCTCCTGTTTCGCAACAACCGCTTCAGCACCGAGGAGCTGATCTTGGCCCAGGACTTCAAAAAGAAGCTGCACCAGGGTGCGATGACCGCTATCAGTTTCTACGAGGTACACACTTGCAATCTTGTCCTAAAGCGAAATTCTAAATCTCAAATCGGACAATCCGTGGAGAAAAGTAACGATCATCTGTGGTGTTCCAACAGGTGGACTTCACCTTCGACAAGACAGTGATGTCGGAGCTCCTGACGGGATGCAGGGACCTCCTGCTGCGGCTGGTCAACAGCCACCTGACGCCAAAGTCCCACGGGCGCATCAACCACGTGTTCAACCATTACGCCGACCCCCAGCTGCTCACCCGGCTCTACCAGCCCGACGGGCCCTTCCGGAACAACCTGGAGCACATCTGCAAGGGACTCAACAAGTTGCTGGAGGACGGGACAATATGACGGTGCCCCCACTTCCGAGCCCCATTCCCTTGGGACCACACTGACACTCCACACTCGACACTGTCCTGCTGCTAAGAGAGCAAATGTTCAGGAGGGAGGCCCCGCCAAACGCTCTACTTGGGAACAAAACTGCCGGGGATAGATTTTTTTTTTTCTTTCTTTCTTTTGTTGTGAGGCATTGTCATGACAACAGGTCAAATCCGAACTAAAGGGGTTCACACTATTTTAAAATCATGAATACGCTGATGTTTGATGGAAAGAGGAAGAGGGAGTCTGCTGATACAATGCTGCCCTCTGGTGGCCAGGACGTTGTGGAAGCATCCAGAAATCAGAAAAAATAAAACAGCCAATTATCAAAACGATGACGATATCAGAATAAAATAAGGCCTGACTGTGGTGTCAACGCTGTGTGTGGGCTCTGCATTTAATTATCCGTCCATTCATCCATTTTCAACACTACTTATCCCGTGCAATAATCGATGTAGAATTGCATATTAATTAATCAAATCAATACTGTAATTGAAATGACATTCAATGAAATGTACTAAATTAAAAATATATATTAAAACATGATTAATTAATCGCATTAAATAATCAACACAAATTTGTATTAAGATATTTATTAAATGACTAAAAAAATTGCATAATAAATTTAATTATTTTAAATAATGCATATGTAAAATAGGTGCTTCTTAAAAAATTACATTTATGAACTAAAAATAATGTAATCGCTTTTTAAAAAAATGTTCCCCCCAAAAATGTTTTCAGTTAATTCATACAAGCATGTATTGATTTAAGAAATTATTTCAGTCAATTCAACTCAATAGATTAAATCAGGCGTAAATAAATATGTTTTTATGAATTAATTAAAATGCATGACCACACTTGTTAAATAAAAATATGTATTCACGTAATAAATAACGATACCATTACAACAACCAGTCATTGTCAATAACGTTTTGCTAATTTACATTTATTCAATAATATCAAGTTTTTAAATTATTATGAAACCTAAAACACTTAGGTGAGCAAACACACTACTGCACGCGGTGCACTTTTCAAACATCAAATGTTTAATAAACTCTACATAACCTTCCTCTCAACACGATTATACCAATTATCATGAAATCAAACCCCCAGTGTCCTGTAAGAAATAAGCTTCATTCAGTGCATAAGTTAATAAGCGGGGAACAATATTGCCTGTTGTTGCGAGTTGGGCCTGTGAGGCCGCTTCACACACGTCTCAAGACCGCCAACATGTGACTTGCCTTCATGTGACATGTCACACGCAGTCCATATGCAGCACCACATCGGGATGAAATAGTGTTCAAAATGTATTTCAAAGCATACCCGGGGCTCAGTGTCACACACGTTAGTGTTGTCGCTTCACAGCTCAAACAAGTCATCCTCTCGCTCCCTCAGCTTCATTGTCAGCTTGGTGGTGGTGGGCGGCACCGCGGCGGCGGATGGCGGCGCCCGCTGACGCCTGCCCGAAGGTGACCGCGGACGCTCGCTCAAACTGCTGGAGCAAATCGTCTCCAGGTCGGCGAGCCTGACAGAGGAAACAGACGAATCAAACATTGGCCTTTTGGTTAACTTCGTGTCTCAGCTACATTCTTTAGAATAGGTCATTTTGGACTGTTATCGCGTGTAGAAAGGCAGCTAGACAGACCAACCGACAGATACTCAAAATATATACTGCAGACTGACAGACACAGTGAGTTCGACTCAAACTGTTGTTGGATCGATAGACCGGCAGACAAACTGATCCTACGGATGGAATGAAAAATGCTCGATAAAAGTGTATTTTGACCTCTTCTCCGCATCCTGCCATCTCCTGGCGGCTGCCCGCTTGGACTCGCTGATAACGCCGTCCAATCGGCTGAAGAAATCCGCCGCCGTCAATTCTTTGGTGGCGCAAAAGGGGCTCGCCGTCGGGCCGTTCGCGGTCCGGAAAACCTGGTCGCCCAAACGCGCATCTTTGTCATCGCCATCCTCCTCCTCTTCGTTGTCAGCGTCGGTTGCAGCGTTGTGAGCCTCTGAGTGCGACGGCACGGGGATGGACAAGGACCTCTTCAGGAAGATGGAGTCGTTGGTGTACAGACGGTTGACTCGTTTGATTTGCTCCGTCTGAAAGGTAACGGCAACTGTTGGAATACACGATCATAAAAAGCACATCCAATTTTTTTTATGATAAATTACACTGGGCATCACATTTTCGCTTTTTTTTCTTCTTTAATCAGAGATGCAAGTAAACTTTTTTTTTTTGCACTGCTCCAGCACGCCCGCAACCCTCATGACGAGAAGCGAATTAGAAAATGGATGTATGGATGAAGTTCAGCAACAGGTGAATTTTTTTTTCCGGGAATGGTTTAAATTACAATGCCTGGTAAAAATCCACATTGCGTAAGCTTTTATTGATCAGATTTAAAAACAACAAATGTGAAAATATCAAAAAAAAAAAAAAAACTATAGTATGACGAAAAAAAAACCCGACATTTTTTTTTTTTAAATCAGTGTAAAAATGTGTAAGGACACATAGTCATCTCTGATTTAATTTGCTATTGTTATAGGAGAAATGTATTGAATTATTGTAATTATTTTTTTTGTTACATCGATATTTGCATGCATCTTATTATGGGTTTGTTCCATGCAATCATTACGTCGTTTCACGTGGGATATCATAAAAACACTGTATATTATAATCTGTGATTTACTCAGCTTCAAATATTGTCATAATAGTTTGATCGTGGGTAATGGTGGAAATGACTGAAATGTACTTTGCGACTGTACCTGGTCGATTTTCAAGTATCTGTTGTATTTGAGTTTCTGATGTCTTTGAACGTTTGCTCCCGATATTTGCAAACAGGTATCTGTACTTCCTACTCCTTGTCAAAACTGTCTCTTTTTTTTAAAGTAAAAGACAAATATTTAAATGGATTAATCCAACATTGTAAACAAGACAGAAAGTACTGGAGACTACGTACAGTGACTCCGTATTTGAGAGCGAGGCCTTGGAGGGTTTCGCCGGGCTGGATGGGATGTTCGATATGTCTTCGTCGGACCGGGGACAGATTGGACCGGACCAGGCTGCCGTAGGACCTGCTGCTCCGGCCGCCTCGTAGCAGGCCGCTCCCACCGGCGTCCGCAGGCTCTTTCCCCGCGGACATGACGGCGAGGGAAGGAAGGAAGGAATCACTTGGCTCCGGTCAACTTTCGTAATTTCGTAGAATCGCAAACATGGCGGTTTCGTAATGACCAACACGATTTTTCGTTTTGGTGCTTGTTTTTGTTTTGTGTTTTTAAAAAAATCAGTTGCTTAATCGGCGCTCCAAAATAACGAGCGATGTAATATCCATAATGTCAATCCATGCCGAGTAGGGTCAACATTACAAAGAAGAGTAAAATACTGAATAATTATAGAAGAGATAAAAACGGCGAAAAGTTCCAGTGGAAAAAGACAAAAGTTGAGTTTTCCGCCGTCTCCTGCTCGCCGCCATATGTTGCCATGGCTGCCTTGTGAAGTGATAGCGCCCATGATGCATTGGGGTGATGCATTCACTAATGCTCGACATTGAAAGTATCCTTATCATTTTGTAACGGTGTTACGATACAATAAAATGCAATGATTAAAAATATTACGAAAATGCAGTTGATTTGAAGACCAGCCACTTGTCGTTACGGCTTCAAATAATAATAACCATAATATTTACCCCTACTCTGAACGCCTCATAACTTGTAGGCTAGACAGTAAGTAAACACGCTAGCGTGGCTGCTACTAAGCGGCACTGTACGTAAGAGACACACTTTTTAAAAGCGAAACTGACGATAAGGGTCAACATAATATCCCGAGGAGGATATCTTTGTCCGGTTTACGTTATTGTCAGTCGATACATGTTTTAAGCAGGATGTTAAATTAGCTAAACAGCAACAACGGAAGGACCGAGGCTGCAGTTTCAGTGACAGCTCCCATGAGGCTTTGCGCATGATGCCTTCAAGGGCGCACGTCATTGGTTGTGATAAATGAAGCCATTATCGCGTTACAATGTAGTTGTAAGGTTTTCAAACGTAAAACTCAAAATCGAACGAATAGCTGTTTTATTTTTCAAATCTGAAGCTATCCACTTTAGTTAAAACCTTTAAAAACTGAAAAGCCAAATGAACCATTACTTTGAACGCCACAGTACGCTAGCTAAGTTAATAACGTGTTACTAAAGTACTGTTTCAACATCATATGGTAGTGCGATACAAACATGTCTTTTAAACGGGAAGGTAACGACAAGAGTCAGCTAAATATCCTCAAGGTGAGTTTGAATATTATAGCATGTGTTGTGATCAGTGGATACATATTACAGTGCGCAAAGTAAGCTAATTGTTAGCATACGTAACGCTCTAATTTAACTCCAAACGGAAATAGGCTCTGCATTGCTTACAATTTGTTGTCAGTAGACACTTTTGTTGTTGTGTTTGCTTGCAGAAACGTCGCGTCGCAGATCTCCTGTCAAACTTTATACCAGAGGACGAAGCAACACTTCTGAGCAATGGAAGGTAAAATGTAAACACTGACCACACTGTGATTGTCCGGAGCCATTCCAACTCATGTCATCGCCCAATCACCACCATAAAGTTGTTTTGTTTAGATACACTTGTCTTGTGTGCAACTACCGCCCTGTGTTCGACACAGTCGACATGCTGACAGTCCACAGGAAAGGGAAAAGGCATCTAGAAGGTGAGTCAAATATACTGGTGCATTTCAACTGGCTTAGTGTAACACAAAACCCTATGATTAGTGTGAAAATGTTGACTTGTGGTCTGCATTTACAAATTTAAAGTCACAGCTGAGCTGCCATATCTTTATTCAGGATGCAAATAATAAGCCTGACAGTCCCAGTTGAGTCAATTAAACATTTCAAATACAATACGTTAATGTAATGTTTTTGGAGGGAGATTTAAATCGATGACTAGATCATTTGTGGATGTTTTTTAGGTTTGAAGGCATTCTATGGGAGGAAGGCCCAGCTGAAGCACGAAATAACAAAAAGGAAACAAGAAAATTTAATCGAAGCTGAAGACCAGCGGCAGGTGGGTTACCCTTGCTGCGCAAGTCGATTTACTTTTCAATAAGATAAGATAAACCTTAAGTAGTGGTGCCTGGAGTAGAAATTCAAATGTTACAATAGTCGAGGCTAGAACAGTGCACAGCCGAATATTAATCATCACAAGTTAGTGACATTGGGCTTTCAGAATGAACCGAAAGCACATTCTGACCTTTACAGGTGAACTTCATTTTATGTTCTCTAAACTTTTAAGTGCAATTGTTCAAATGTTTCCAGTTTCAATATGTTTTGCTTCTGTAGCAAAGAGTTTTTGTTGTTGTTGTTGTTTTTTTAATTTAATGGCCCCTCCTATGGGCCTCTGTGGGTTTTTGAGTTACTCTGTTGATGACACGCTGTGACACTCTTCAGCTCAGTCGCCATATACCTCCGTTCCTGCCATTTAAAACAAAGTTGCTTTTAACTACTTGTATGTAAGGCGGCTTTATTTATCAAGCAAATTTCATACATACACATCAAAATGAGTTTTTGTTGTATTTCTAAGGAAGGATCCAGTTCAGCAGCTCCTTTATTGGCACGAACGAGGAAGCTGACCCATCACGCTTTGCTGAGGACGGCCCCATATAACAGCTGCCATCAAAGAATTAGGCATGCCGCATTCATGTTTCATGCCATCTCACAAAAGCCCAAAAGAGAAATCAACTTTTTTTTTAATGTTGTTTTTTTTAAGCAGAAAAACTGTGAAAGGCCCAGGAAACAGCCGAAGTCCACTTGATCTTGTGGCGTCACCTTGCGGAGCTACGGAGTCAGCTGATGTTTCGAGCATGCCAGGTGATATTGATTCCATTGATATTGACTTATTTGAGTTAAACTGTCCCTGTTGAAGGCTCAAAATAAGCGGTTCCGCGTTGTATTTTGCGCCTCGATCAAACACGCCTGAACGCAAAACTGTCAACGGGCGGTTTATACGGCAAACGGCAGAAATCAGTTTGTAAATGCCTTGACTTGGTTCTACGCAGGGAGTGACCAGTCACATTCATCAAACACCACAGGAGGGCGTCCCCCGTCTGCGACGCCAGCATCTGAGCCCATGTCGGCCCAGAGGAGACGCGAGCTGGAGCATTATCTCAAACTGAAAAGGTACACCGTTGTCCATGTTTTCACACACGTATGGACGTTAAGCGCGTCATCTTACCCGCAGCGACGGATGGCTGCAGGACACAAGCGGCCGCTGGGTTAAAGACGGCGACGTGGAGTTTGATTCCGACGAGGACGAGCCTCCTTCGCTCGCAAGCGTGCCTTCAGGGGACACCTGTGAAGAGCCATGAGGTTCCCTCTCTCAAACCTCAAGACTCACACTTCCTGGATAGCTGAGATTCTCCGATATGAAATGTGACGCCTCCCTTGCCCCGAGTGTACCCCTCATAGTTTCTGCATGATTCCCGCTCAGCTTAAGTGTAAACCTGAAGTGGACGAGCTGGTCGGGTGCTAATTTGGGGCGTGATTCCTCCAGTTAGCATCGCGCTCAGCAAAGTGGCGGTAAATTAGAGAAGCACGCGAGGGTCAGGGGAGCTAAGTCAGGGGGTGCGGGGAGGAGAGGGGGTGCTGGACACTTCTCAATGCCGCTAATGTGCCGAATGCATCGTGCATCCAGGAGGAGTCATTCAATACATCCAGTTGTCAGAGGCAATCGTCAAACTGCGCCATCGTAGTCCAGAGTGGTACAACACCGCCATCTACAGGAATCTGTTAGTCATTACAGTGGTTTACAAACCTGAATTTCACAGACCTCTTCCTCCAGCGCCTGCCTGTTGGAAAAACAAACTTGACGAATATATACGTCGGTGGCAGTGAACTGTTGAATTCCAATTGACAAATATAAATGTCCATGGCAGTGAATGTTTTCATGTGCAAACTGCTGATGACACATGTGAGTACACCCCTAAGTGAAAATTTCCAAATCGGTATCAGGAGTAATAAAGCCAATCCCAGAAGGGAAACAAATTTAAAGAGCAAAACTTTGAAAAGCTCAAATAGTGGTCGCCATGGAACTCGGCTGGCCATCACTTTAAAGGAGAACAAAGATGAAAAACATGACGGGCAAGGAAGAGAAGGAAATGCCAGCCATGTTGTGGAAATCCTGGGAGGTTAGCAGCTGTTACTACCCATAAAGCGCCGAGGGTGCAAAGGAGTTCCTCTTCTATGTGGAACGCCGTAACTGAAGCCCGGCCGTCCGGATCTGTTTCACTTTGCGTCCCGGGAGGATAAAAATAGCTCAGGTGCTTGTGGGAAGTGCTTGGATCAAAAGTGACTTAAAGGAGATTTGCATGATTAAAATGAAACCTTAGAAGGTTGTCAGGAGACCACATGCCAGAGGTGAGGACATCATGGAATTAGGGATGGGCAAAATGGCTTTCAAATAAAATCTTGATTTTATGAACAAAAATCAGATTTTTTTTTTTTTTCACCCCTCCCAAATTTTAATCACCCAGCTGGTCTTTTGTTGAGGGTACACATACCTCATTTTTGTGTGTTCTGTTCTTCAAAAAAACAGCCAATAAAAGGGGTACAAATGTTTACAAAGAGGATTTGAATAAATATTTTATTGAAAGTATTTACAGACGCTCCTTCCCCCCACACATGAGATGAATCATCATGTCACATGTCCTAAAATAAAATAAAAGATGCTCTGCGTGACAAGTGACGAGTTCTTCCACCCTTCATCTTCATCTCAGCCTCTGCTGCCGAACTGGACGAATAAGCAAGCAAAAAAAAAAAAAAAAAAAGTTAAACTCAAGACAGTGCGATTAAATGGGTCAGAACTTTTTTTGTCATTTTATCATTCATATCCTTCCATTTTCAGTAAATTGGCTCACAAAACTAGCATCAATGGCACGGCAGCTACAGACCTTTTCAGCAAACTTAAATTTGAAGACGAGGTAGCAACACAGACACGGCATATATTCTTTATCCTCTTCAAAAACGACTCATATTTCACATCGTCATTGTCACGTCTACATCTAGTATGTCAATTATTGTATTACTCCGCCCCCTGGTGGCCAAGGCGCACACACATGAAGGAGCGTCACAATGCCCATTGAATTATGATGCATAAACTGTTTAATTCTTACGCATGTCGTTGTTCCGTGTCATGGCCATGGCGGCGCGGGCGCGCGGGCCCTGCTGCGTGAAATGGTAGCCGAACTTAAGGATGCTGGAGTTGTTCTCCAGCATGGCGGCGATCTCCATTTCCACCGAGTCGCCGAGCTTCTGTCGCTGTGAGGGGAGAACATCCTGTCACCGAAATGCGGTCGCTGAAGAAATTCACGGGCTCTTAGGATAACTTCCAAACATCCATTGCCTGTAGCTCTTGTTTTCACCTCCGGACAACTTAACCTGTCACCTAAAAACATGATAAGCTGTCCACTGTAGTAACCGCTGTCTCTGAAAGGGTTAAAGGCGTGGCTGAAATGGAGGACAGAAATGGAATTGACTTGGCAAGTCCCAGAGTCCAGTCCTCGAGAGCCCTTATCGAGCCTGTTTTAGATTTCTCTCTCCTCCAGCTCACCTTTTTGAAACGACAGCTGATCAGCAAGCTTTGCAGAAGCCTGCTTAACATCCTGATCGTTTGAATCGGGTGTGTTGGAGGAGGCAGACAACACCCCTGCTTCAGAGTCTTCGGTGAAGCTAAGGAGCTTTTAGATGATTTTAGATGGGAGGAAAAACCACAATAGAACAGAAACTACAACCAGGGAGTCCAGAGTCCAGATTTAAAACCTTAACGAACCTCAGAACTGTGAGGCAGACATGCTAAGCACTATTCCACCGTACTGCCTCTCGTGCGTTCTTTCTGACCTGATTGTCGATTTTGAGCTCCACCAGCGTGGCGTTACTGGCCATGGCCTTGATGACGGCCATCATGCCGTCGGAAGTGATGAAGTTGGACTCGATGTTAAGACTCTGCAGGTTGGTGTTCTCCTGCAGCATCTCCGCACATGCCTGAGAGGCGCGAAAAACACAAATACACACACATGAGCTGACATGACATCATTTTCATTCACATTGTTAATAGTTGCCAAAAAGAAACTGGACTCACGTAGGCCACGGGGTCGTTGCTACGAGTGGCGGCGATGCTCAGAACCACCACGTGAGAGTTTCCCTTCATTGCCTCGAAGATCTCCTTCAGTGTCGGTATGGGAATGTCCTGAAACCGTGAGGCCGAGGTGCGGTTGAATCAATTATATATTACCTCAAATTTCGAACTGAAGTAGCGTTTTGGATTCATGGCGAAACGTTTTCAAACAAACAAGAACAATCCAGTTGCCTTGATTCAACCTTTGCTGATTCTTGTAGACAATGCCAAATGTAAACAGGAGGACTTGTCAAGTCATGTGGTTCGAATCCAAGTTAAGTTTTGTGATTACCAAGTCAAAGTCGAGTAAAAAGTCTGTATGAAAGACTCGACTTGCCCAGCAAGACTAGGTCATGTGACTTGAATTCCCAGCGTCTGCCATGAGGAGCATGTCCTGTACCTTCGTAAACGTCGTGATGATCTTTGATGACGGTTGACTGACTAATCATTTACCGGTGGTTCTCAAAGTATGGTTCCTCAGACCTCCAAGAGCCTGCTAGCGGTGGCTTGGGGGGGTCCACAAAAAAAAAACTACCTCCATGTGGGTCTTACTCCTTCCTAGCTTAGCTTTGACCTAGCTAAAGGCTCTGATATGATTGAAGCTAAAGACCTCGTTTTAGCTCATCAATTTTCGACTTTGAAATCAGAATATTACGGACTCCAAAATTTTGAGAACCCACCTAAAAGACATTTCATTGGCTGTCGTATACTTTCAACCGACCTATTTGACGTCCTGTGAACATCGGGCTTTACCTTGATGTTGTTAAAGTTGACTGCGGTCAGGCTGCTGTCGTTGTTTTGGATCCTCTCCAGCGTCTCCTCCACGTTGGTGGGGTTGGGCGGCTCGTCGGGGAAGATCTTGAAGGGGTCTTCTTTCACCACGCCTGAAGGGTACACAAGAGAAATTAATAAGCTCCCAAAAGAAATCGCGAGCTACGTCGACTACAACTACGTACTGTTGATGCCCTCCGTGTTGGCGATAGTTCCGGTGGTGCCCAGAGCGTCGTAGTACTGCTTGTTGCTCATCAGTGTGTACATGCCCAAGATGGCTGCGGGGGGTGAGAAAACATTGGCGGGGTCATGTTGTGCTTTAATCTGTGAGTGGCATGCAATTGCCATCCAGGTAGAAGACAAGGAAGTGGACACTGTCGAAATATTTGAGTCGCATCATAATTTGGGACAATGACTGCAGTCAAAATCAAAGCACTGGTTCAGGGACGGCATGTGGTGTTCTGTCCAGTTGGAACGGTAAGGACATTAGTTTAGGGACCAAAATCGAACTATCGGGTCTGTTATGGCCTTTATTGTTGTTGGTACTGGGTCAGTGTTGAAGGAGCACATATGATGAGACAGACGCAAATTGTTTGTTAGTCTCAGTTGACTTCAGAAGAATCAGTCTGATATTTGACTGTGTGTAAGTGAGACCTCAACGCCGAGAAAGATCTTTAAATTTAGTGCAGCGCATAACAAATGGTCTATTCTGGTGTTTCTTGACCTCAGCCAGGCCTTCGCAAGTTGACTGTGGAATTCTCTTTGAGATACTTGAACTCCGGTCAGACAGTCTTCCTCTTTCGTTTCTAACCAGACACACGTAGAGGCCCTCAGGGGTCCGTTCTGTGCCCACTGATCTTTTAACCTGGTTATTTAAGTTCAGAGTCAGATTTTGAAGAAAAAAATAAGATTTGTCCATTCATTTCTGAAAATGCCAATGGCTTGACTTCACATCTGCAAGAAATGCAGATGTGAATTGTCGAGTTTGCAGGTGACTCCATAAAACACAAATGAAAAGCAGTTGTCACAAAAATTCGTATGCAAGGAAATTCAGCGATTGCCAGGAAACATTTTTCAGTATACCCAGTACATTTTGAGCAGCCAAATATTACTTCCGTTTTTTTACATTTTGTCAACAATTGAGACTTTTGATACAATTTTCTTCATGTGCTGATTTAGATTAGAATGCAGTGTTCCATATTCGTGTTTTGTGCATGGAAAAAGCCACAATAAGGATTTTTTTAGCTTCACACACTTTTTTTTAAACATGCTGCAACAATTTTCTATTCGATTTTTGATGCATTTTGATGCATCGTCAGTGCTGATTTAGATTAGAATGCAGTGTTCCATATTCCTGTTTTGTGCATGTAAAAAGCCACAATAAGGATTTTTTTTTAGCTTCACACACTTTTTTTAAACATGCTGCAACAATTTTCTCTTCTATTATTAATGCAATTTGATGCATCGTCGTGTTAGCTTAAATAACAAGTTTAGACCTCGAACTACAATTTTAATGTTACCAGGAGGGGGAAGCACTGTGTCTCATGCTGTAACCTGCCTCCCATGAAAGTGTGTCATACACCAACTGCTGTGACCCTCCCCCCCCACCCTACCACCCATCCCTTGTGACCCCATCAAGGAAAGGCAGGCCAGTGAGACAGCTGCCTGCTTAGCCATAAACACCCGCTGCGGCCCTGACAGTAACCCTGCTAGCTTTACGGCTCCAGCTAGCCAAGCAGGGGAGCGGCGACTGATGCTCATATTGTCAATAAAACACTTAATTACATTGCTGATCTGCAGTTGCGCGCTCTCTTTTACGCCAAGCTTTTCATCCCCTGCCAACACGCTGGCCAAAAAAGCTCAACAAACGGCTGACGGAAGCTAACCGAGCTTTAATCCTCATCTGGACCTGGTCCAGATCCAAGGCCAGAGGCAGCCAGTGAGGGGCCAGGCACAGTGGGTCTGTCTGTCTGTCCACATGTTTTGGACCTGCTTTGGAATCAAGAATTGATCCTTAACTTTTATGGCTTTTACAAACACATCAAATCCAAATATACTGTATGCTACGACTACAGTTCTTAGTTGACCCCCAAAATTTGGCTCACCATTCCTGAACATGTGTTTAAACAATTAACAGGCTTAAATATAAAATATATGAGCCACAGGCCATCTTTGGTTTATTCTGTCAACGGCCGTGTGTTTTACAAAGATATCCTATCTTCCGCCCCACAGAAGCCGCTCCACCCTACCAGCCTGGCGCGTTTTATTTTTGAGCTGCTGACTTCGGGGAATCGGATCCTGTCGCATGTCTGTCGTGGCTGTTGGGACGTCCGAGTGCAAATTATATGTGGGTCAGTCCAGTCGATGTGCCGGCATAGTCAGGGTTAACAAAAAAAAAAAAAAAACACAAGCAAATTAAGAAAATATGTAACATGGCAGCACAGCAGGCCGCTTGTTCTTCCATCCATCACACGTATGGATAGTTTGGGGTTGCATTTGGCTGCGAGCAGTTGACAAACAAGCAAAGCGTTAAAGACGTGGTCTCACCTGCAATGTCGCACATTTCGGCGTCGGTGGCATTTTTGAGCGCCTCCTCCAGCTCGGGCTCCAAGATGACCTGCTCGTGCTGGGGAATCTCAGCCGCTTTTTTTGCCACAAAGGCTTTTCCTGGAGGCAAATAGACAAAGAACACCGTCGATACAGATGCTAGGATTTTTTTTTTCTTCCAAATGTGGGTATCCAAACCCTGGGGTCCGCTATCTGTAACTTGAAGGGGGGGTCAGTAAAATAAATAGCACTAAATGATTAGGTCGTGGGCGGCCTGGTGGTTTAAACGGGGGTTCACTCTGATTCCCTTGACATTTTGGGTTAACATCGTAGGCCAAATCGCATAATTGCCAAGGTAATTTTTAGCTTGCTGCCACAGATATCAATTTTTTATAAAATGCTAAAAATTGTTTTATTTGTCATGTCTGTGTTGATTTTCAAGGTCAAAATGATACAAGAGGACACTTGTTTGAATATGTTTTGTGAATGCATTAACGTTAATAAATAAATATTTCGGCAATTATCCTATTAAGCTAACGACAAAGTATGTGTAAGGAGTCCGTGGATAAAATGTCAGGCACCTTTCTTCTCCCCCGTGAAAGGCACCAGCTCCTCTCGGTCTGGGTGCTCCATGGCCTGCTTCTCCAGGTGCTGCATCAGAGCGTCACGGTCAAACGGTCCCGTCGGGTTTTTCTTTGTCTGGTCACGCTGCCGCATACCAGCTGGCAGCATGGCATTCTGGGAGGACAGGGAGGTCATGTTTATGTGACCAGACAGCAGAACTGGGAGTAAGTCACATATGTAAAAGTCTTAACCGTCAAGTTTTGAGCAAGACCTAGATTAATTGTGGCAAAATTGTAGCAAATCAAGTCTAGTCATAACTTGGGCTGAGCAAATCACAAGTCACGTTATGTAGTATGGCTCAGTCACAACGTACGGTTCATTTGCACATTAACCACTTTGCGCTCATTGTTTTTACTAGTTACTCAGTTGTACGAAGTATAATCACGGTTGTTTTAATCATCAAAAAACCCAGAGCCCATATTGTCTGTCACTTTATTGTCTTTTCAATTAAACACATCACCAAGGCAACATGAAACTTAGTTTGAAAGCTGCCGGTTACCTAAATCTGTGAAGGTAACGTAGCTTACCCGTCCGTCCTTGTTGGTTTTAGAGTTTATAACTTATAACAATAGTAAAACGACAGTTACTCGTAACATTTTCATCCGATGATGAAACTGCAGGCTTTTTCAATAAAAACAGGCAAGACTTGTCAAATCACGAGTCAAAGTCAAATCGACTCTTTCATAAGTTTTCGCCAAGCAACACCCAAGTCCTAAAACTGGCGTTTTTAAAGACCCTGTCAAATGAAATTCTGGATTTGTTTCTGAATACATTATACATGTTGCTGAAAAAACTGCAAGGACTATGTAGTACTGAATTGTAACAAGATAATAGTTTTTCACCGTTTCGGTTTTTCAGATTTTTTGGAGGGTGCGGCTAAAACGGCGCCCAGTGACGTAAGCATCCGGCAGCCAGTGAGCCAACTTTCCCTTTCATACAAAAACACCTGTGCACCTTTGTTGGCATCAATGGTTATCTGGTGCATCTTTTAATATATTTTTTTTCATCGCTACCGCACACAGTTAGCTAGCTAGCTAGCTAGCTATGCCTACATGATGACAATGCCACAATTTAGTGAACAGAACAGCTTAGCGGCGTCATTCAAACTCCCAAGCAACACACATTTATTTTCAGTCGACACTTTTGGTCTGACTCCAGTCAAGTCATGTGACTCGAATGACGTGCCCCCTCATACCTCGGGGTCCAGCTCTTGCAGTTCATAATCCAGCTGGTCGAGCTCTTCGGGACTCAGGCCCTTGAGGATGGCGTCCTCATCGATGTCCCTGGGGTCCGACATGACTCACTTCTCGGGGTGGGGGGGGTGGTGGGGGCGCACACTCACATGCACTCGTTCTGGTGCGGGTGGGCCGGGGTGGTGGGGTTCTGCGAGAGAAAAGAGTGGGGGGGAGAAAAAATAATTGGGATCAGTAACTACCAGTGTCAGCCTGTCACGATCAAATATTTTTAGTGTTGGATTATTTCATCGATTAATTGAATAAAAACGGATATTGAATTTGAATGTATTGAGATCTTCTCATTATTATTGTACTGGCAACAGTTTACTTACCTGCATATAACACACAGAGTGCTATGCTCACCTGTTGCCTACTTTTTTTTGTACGTGTATTTATTTGATCATACTTGTGTTCAAATTTTGCAACATATTCAGTGAACTCTTTAAGCCGAAAGAGACCAGAAAAGTCATAATGATCTGCTGTCGTTTGAAAATTTACGTATCAGATATCGGCTACTAGTGGTATCGGTACTCAGTATCAGCGAGTTCTCAAAGAGTAAATAACTGAATTGGTATCTGGGTCAAAAAAAGTGATATCAAACATCCCCTAGAAAAGACACTTAACACATCACATGACGTCACACAGCGGGCGAGCGAGGCCAAGCGATGACTGAAACGAGAAATCGAATGAGGTGCGAGTAACTCTAAACCTTTTAGCCGCAACTCGTAGCCGCTAAGAATAGCAGGGAGGCTGCGCGCACGCATTTATCTTCCGCGCAGCCTCATTTGTCTTCCGCGTACCCTCTTGAATGCTCCCACAAATGTTTGGACCGTCTTTCACTGTAAAAAGTCTGATAAAGAGTAAGGATGTTTTGCTTGTGTGACTACCGCTATTTGCGGTCTATAAGCCGCGACTTTTGTCACACGCTTTATTTAATGAAGCGGCCTATATAAAGATTTTTCTAATGGCCGCCAGGGAGCGCTCAAGCATAAAAGGTAAGAGTGAGACAAGTTGATATCTACACACGTGTTGAGGAAGACCCTATCATCTGTCACACTGAAAACAAGCGGCCACGAGGGAGCGCATTTGACCTGTTTTGGGCTGCACTGCATCCACCAAGGATGACGATGCCCGCCCGCGCCCCCCAAAAAATAAAAAGTTTAAAAACCTCCCGAAAGACATTGTCGTGAAAGTTGACACAAAAGCGTCGATGGTAGAAAGCCTAATGAAGGAATGGTTGACAGAGTGTGACAGCAAGCAAGAATTTTTTTCAGAGAAAAAAAAAAAGCATTACTCGACGGCGAACACTGACTTTTATGTTTTTTGTTTTTTTGAACCAGCCCTGTTCATGCTGTTTTACTGCTGTGGTGCTGCCGCGTTGCAGGCACGATTTGGAAAGAAAAGTTAAGGTATGTTATTAAAACTTTGAAAATGCTTTCTGTGTACCGTCTTTCTTTGTAAATATTTCATGTTACAATGTGGGCACCTGCGACTTATAGACGGGTGCGGCTTATGTGTGTACAAAATATTTTTTTCCTTTTAAAAATGTAGTGAGTGTGTCTTATAATCAGGTGTGCTCTATAGTCCGGAAATTACGGGTAAATGTGTAGGTGTTGAAACCTTTCACTGAGGAAAACGGTGGATGTTGAAACAGATGCATCCACCACGGGTAAAGTAGGATCCAACCAATTAATCGACAGACATTAACCTGTTTAAAATGAATTAATCAAATAAATAAATGAATAATACATGTATGGGAGTATATCTGTGCCATCAGATTGGGAATCTGAATGACTCACACTGAATTTTATTCCCATTCAAATATTCTGTGTACACTTTTCAGCTTCGAAAATTTAACATTCATTCATAAACCGTCACAACCCGGCCACCAATCCACCCGGGCCGGAGCAGGCAACAGCAGCAGCATCCAAAACCAGTCAATCATGTTTGCACCCTACCCGAGGTTGGATCACTGGTCCATCGATTGCTTTGGCCTGGAAGCTGGAAGTGATGCTTTGCAAAGTTTTTCAAGCTAAAAAAATGTCTATTGAATGTTTTGAGGCTAATGCAATTCAGCAGGAGGAATTCAGAGTCAGAATTTGACAGCACAGATATATATCAAAACAAACAAATAAATAAATTGGCAAAGCCAACCATTTCCTGAACAAACACTTCCAGGATATGAAGGTAATTTTTGCTGTTGACGGTGGCACACATTTGCCTTCTTCCTGTTGCTGCAGGTCTTAGCGCCCAAGTGTAACATTCCAAATCATGCTGGGCTTAATTTTAGCTTGACAAGTCAGCTACTTGCAGTCGCGTCAAGCCTCAGCGCCTTAGGTTGCCCGCACACGCACACACACACGCACACTCATGGACTGCACATGCGTCTTGTCACACAGCCAAGAGAAATTGCTGATTCACCCACAAACACCCACAAAAAAAAAAAAACAACTACATTTCTCCAAATTCATCCATCAACTGTTTTTATCCAACTTCAAAATATCTTCAACTCCAATCTCCGAAAATCTTCATGTTCAACTTCCACTCCTCATCTTTATGTTTCAAAGACGTTCCTGGCCTACTCAAAACATCAACATCAAAATGCCTTCATCTTTCGAATACATTCACCATCTAAAAATCTCCATCTTCATCCTCCAGACACTTTCACGTTCCACAGACCTTCATCATCTTTAACCTCCAAAAACTTAGAAACATCTCCAAAATCCTGCATGTTTTACATCCTAAAACTTGTAAATATCTAGCTTTAATTTCCCAAAATCATCATTTTCTTTTAAAAATATGAAATAAAATAAATCGTGCTCCAAAGACCTTCAATCCCTATATTTTTTCCCCCCCATCTTTGACTTCTGAATTCTTTGTTCCTCCAAAAACTTCATCCTCTGGAAAACTTCATGTTCCATAAACCTTTGTCTTCAACCTCCAAAAACATCTAAAAATCTCCATCTTCTACTTCCAAAATCAACTTTCGAGTATCTTTCCTTTCTTCAAATCTTCAAGAAACCTTCATATGCCCCCCCCCAAAAAAACACCTCCAACCTGCATAATCCTTTATATTCTTTTTCCAAAAACATCCACTTCCAAACACATTCACCTTCTAAAGACCTCCATCTTATACTTCCAAATTCCTTCATATTCTGCTTTTGAAAACCCCCGCTTCACCTTCCAGAAACCTTCATTGTCCAAAAACCTTCATCTTACACCTCTAAACACTTAAACATCAAAAACCTCCACTTTTATTGCCATCTAAAATTCTCCTAGCCCCAAATTCAGTATGCCTAAGCAGGAACAAGCGGCATTGAGGATTTAAAAGTTCAACATGGATCTCACCTACCTCAAGTCACAGGGTCCGAGCCTCCACTGAGACACGACTACACCCACTACCACCACCCTTTACCATCCTAAAGACCCCACCTCTCTTGTGACGTCAGCATTGTATTATTATAGAGGGAGAAAGCGAGGAGGGTGGGACAGCGACAGAACTTTCAGGATCGACGGTAACATGAACAGTGGAGCACACTCGCGGAGAAACACTGACACCCAGTGGATGAAACTAGTCAGTGTAAAGACAGGCGACAATATTAGCCCAGTTCAACAAGCTGAAGTTTAGCATGTTGGACTTAGCAGCTAACGAGTACCGTAAGAATAATGTCGAAGTGAGGATGTGGTCTTCAGCTCAATTGTGACGTAAATGAGGATTCAACAGCGTAGAAAATAAAGACTGTGGATCGATGGCTGAAACGCGTGTTTATGTTCGTGTCCAGCAGATGGCACCAAAACGTTCGGTCGCGACAAGTACGTCTGTTGAGACAAACCTCCTTTTGTTTGGACAAGACAAGCCGTTCCAGACCGTACTATTGTCATTCTGTGTTGACATCATGATTATGAAACACACAAACAACAGACATGTTGTCCAGGGAAACCAAGACAACGAAAGTCTTTGTAAAACGATGAGATTTATTCCAGCGATACAATTGATGGAGAAACACCGTTTACAGATGTGTGATGGAGCGACTCTTATACATTTTTTTTTTTTTTGCTTCTTGGGAAGGATTCAAGTGTAAAACACAGTTTCAACATGTTGCCAATACGGTTGTGTTGTACTTCATTGTCATTAGTCATACGCTTTGGACCATTGAAAAACATGAGCATGAGATGGGGAAGGTGCCCCGTCTTGACATCTGTTTGCAGCTCATCGCTTTTTGCATCGACAAGTCTGAAGCGCAGGAAAATCACAAACTTGCACAGGAACGACCTTGCTTATGGATAGCAGGATATGTGATACAAGTGAACACTGGTGATTATCAAATTTCCATGACAACACCTGACAATATTCTGCATCACCCCCCCCCCACACACACACACACACACGCACGCACGCACACACACATAATACATATGCATTGAATACTAATACATTTTGCATTTTTTTTTGGTTGTTGTCCCATTTGTGTCCCCGGACTGACATTCTCCCACCTTTTTTGTGCCTGACATTAACACCCACTTATGTTTCCCCACATTGACCTTCTCATGCTTTCTTTGGTCATTTTCTTAACATCCCCTAAATGTATTTTTTTTTTTTTGTGCACCGCATTGAAGTTTTCATCCTTTTTTTTGTATCTCTCGTTTGACATCTTGATGCTTTATTTTCTTTTTTTGTGTGTTACATTAACATTTTCACAATTTTTTTTGGCTTTTTGTTTATGTCAAAATCATTTTTTGGTTGTTTTTGTTTTGGTCTTTTTGTTGTGTCTTACATTAACATCCTCAAATTTTTTTTGTCTTCTTGTTGGTCTCAAATTGACATTCTCACATTTTTTAATGTCCTACATTGGTATTCTCACACTTTCATTTTTTTGTCCTTAGCTGACATTCACTCAAATTGTTTGTCTATTTTGTGTGCGCGCGTGTGTGTGTGTGTGTGTGTGTGTGTGTGTGTGTGTGTGTGTGTGTGTGTCACATTGACACTCACATGTGTCCCTTATTAAACTCGGACTTTGAGGACAAATGCTGCATTAGCGGCTTTTTGTATTTGTGTGTGTGTGTGTGTGTGTGTGTGTGTGTTCCACACTAAGATTCTCACGCTCTGTGTTTTTGTGTCTCTCATTGACATCACTCTGCCTTCATCTTCCTCATGACCTATTTCGTACGGTGATGTCACGAAGCAGACTTGACATTTTGTAGTCGTCAAACACACCTGGCAACAATTTATGCACAAGTACCAATAACAAAAATAGACAACTAATTTTTCGTGTCCCCCATTGACATTCTCAGACGTTCGCTGTCTTCTTTTGTGTCCCACATTTTCATGCTCACATCCCAAAGTAATATTCTCATCAATTTTGTGTCTTGCGCTGACATTATTGCTCATTATTTTTTGTTTTGAGGGGATGAGGTCCTCATATTATTGCACTTTGTGTGTGTGTGTGTGTGTGTGTGTGTGTGTGTGTGTGTGTGTGTTTCACATGAACATATTGTCTCCTTCAATCTACAATGACCTTATGATTATTTCTGTCATGTTATGAAACAACCCGAGACATTCTGTAACCATGAAACGCACCTGACAACATTGGGTGCATCCTTACCTGCAACAATAACACACACACAATTACATGTAAATCACTTGTCCTCCCCGGGAGTTCCATGTTATTCTTGCTATGATGTTATGAAACTTGAAGGACATGTTTGACATTCTATGACTTTGAAATCACACCTGACAACATCGATACACCATCCATAGTTACAAGGACAACAACGCACAAACACGCGCACGTTGTGTATCACTCCTGTCTCGTAATCCTTTTTGTGTCCCAAAATGATATTCTTATACAGTACTTTCTTTGTGTGTGTGTGTGTGTGTGTGTGTGTGTGTGTGTGACTTAAATTGACATTTTCAGCGTTTTTGCAGTCCCACGTATTAAAAATGTTTAAGAGTCTGAGCATTTCAAAACAAAATGAATCCTTTGTCATGTAATTTACAATGTAAAGGTTAACAGCAGAATTGAGTATTTCTCTGTGTGTGACACTTACTGAGGAAGTTCACACTTCCCCTTGTTGGGGTTTTTTTTTAGGTGGGATTCAGGCACATGATTGCACAGAATTGCATTCATTACAACTTACATTAATTGCTTCATGTTGGCTAGGAACAGAAGAACATGACAAACCCGAACGTGACTCATGACACACACTCACACGAAATGTCATCCTCCTGAGGGCTGACCTCTGCCAAGACTTCACAGTCACAATCTTCTACCCTATTAACCTCATTCAATGTGCCAACACAATTTTAATAGCTTGTTCAAACTGTACCAAAACACAGATCCCTTGTGTAAATTCCCAGGCAACCAAAGCAACTCAACACACCACCAACCACCCCACCCCCCCAAAAAAAAAAAAAAACAAAGAATCTATCAACACTACACAAAATATAATCCCCGCACAAAACAATGCGACCCTGCACAACACAACACAAATCAACTCAAAACTACACTAGAAAAAAAAAACGTCATATAACAACACTACACAACAAAAAGCAAAAGAACACTGAACAACACAAAATAACCCAAATAAAACCAACAATGCAGTAGAAAACAACACAGAAACATTAACTTTTTTAAACTACTTTTTACTTTCGGTGCGAGAAACCGGAAGTAATTCAAGTTCTCCAGCCCTGCATGGTGCCTGATCACCCTGAGCACCTTCGGGGCAAAGACAGCACCGACCATATGCATACGTTCCGCAACAACTTCCGGCTACGTGATCCGGAGGACGTGGGTTTCTTTTCAAACAGGAAGTGAATGGGCCTTCCCCCTCCCCCCTATCTCACCCACAATTCCTGTGACTGTGCTCCCGTGACGACAATCGTGTTCCTTTTTAGGTCAAAAAAGAAGCCACTTCCTCCACTCGGAGACCCCCCCCCCCACAACACACGCGTACGCCCATACAAAAACTAACATGGAGTTGGATGCTTTGCTATTACACATTCCGCCGCCAGGGGACGCACCAGACGCGCTCCATTTGTCTGGAACGCTGCTCCTTTTTGCGTCTCAGTGTGTTTTGTGGAGAGACCGGAGGAGAGAGAGAAAGAGAGAAAGAGAGAGAGAGAGAGAGAGAGAGAGAGTGTGTGTGTGTGTGTGTGTGTGTGTGTGTGTGCTTGTATGCGCAGCCGGCATTTTGTGTTCTGATGGGCCACAATTAAAAAGTTCAAAGGCAGGCTGCGGTGGAGGACTGGACGCCACAGTCGGAAAGCCAGTTTGTCATGATGATGATGATGAGGATGAGGATGAGGAGGCTGATGACATCCACAGGTGTGTCGGTGACATGTCTGACTGAAGTACCAGAAGGTGTCTGTTTGTTTATGTTACTATGGCAAGTACAAAGACAAGTTCTGAAATGTATATTAGGCGGCGTAGTTGTCTGCGTTTATTATTCTTGACAAATTCATCACCACAACATGCCCGAAAACGGACCAATCTTGGCAAGTGCAGCGGCCCTCAAAATAACTCGGCCAAAACTCACTGTGTCGGTGAGCCCACAAAATAACGTAAGAGAAAACAATACAAACTCTGTAGCACCCCTTGGAAATTTTTCAATAAATGTGCCCCCAACACCAGTTTCACAGATCAACACAATATGAGGTGGATAAAAGTTTCAAGAAGCCATGACTGAAATTGAAAAGAAAGTCGTCCATTTTGGTTTAAAGCAGGGAATTTGCCCCAATTGGAAAATGCTATGCTGAAAAGCGAGCCAACATTTTAATGAAATTATATTTTGCTTATGCTATGTAAATGTTCTTTTAGAGGATTTTCACCAGTTCCACCTATCGACACCAAATTAATTGGGTGGATCTGTCTGTGATGACGCTCAAAAAGGTCTCAAAGAATTCGTTCCTGAAATTAAACAGGAAGTTGGCCATTTTGGTTTGAAGCAGACATTTTATTCTTGGGTTTGCACTTGGATAAACTCCTACAAGAGGCTTCATCCAAATGAGCCACAATTTGGAAGTGGGTATCCTATTTGTAGACCGAAACGGGCAAGATTTTTTGTCTACGCCGTCTAATGTGGGACGGAGTGTGATGTCAAAGTTTGGCGATCTTTTTCGAGAATTTTTGGAAAGTAAATTTTGGTTTGAAGGGGGCATGTTTGACTCCATTACTCTGACTGGGAATTTATTTTAACTCAGCCCCAATTTTATTCCAATAACCTAAACAGGGTCTCTGATTCAGTTTGGAAACTGTCCACGAAACAGTTACTTCAACTTTTTTTTTTTGGTGAAACTCTGTACTCCTTACTTGGGCCTCAATTATGTTGTGAAATTTTAAAACTCTCCCTTCTGCTTATATTGAAAGAGAAAGAGGAAAGCCTCCCCCCCAAAAAAGCCGCATTTCATTAATGCATATTTCTTTGTAGTTTAAAGAAGCAGATGACAGGACAAAGAAAAAAGCATTGAGCAGCCGTCTCGTCTTGTTAAAAAATGTGAATGGCAGAAAATGTGAATGGACGCAGACGGCCGGCCTCCCTGCTCACATCAGCGCCATTGCGTTCTCTTTGTCTCTCAACGTTGTCCCACAAGGGCAGGGAGGAGGATCCTATTTCCCGTCGACTGAGATGTCTCCTCCCCCCCATCCCAAACACACACACACACACACACACACACACACACACACACACACACACACACACACACACACACACACACACACACACAGGAAAAACCACATGAGCACATGGGGAAAGAATTCAAGAGCAGATCCATCAGAGGAAAAAACAGAACCAAACAGAGAAGGAACCACGCTTTCAAAAATTCAAAATTCAAGGACATTTGAGTATCGCAGTAACTTCTTCATGTCTACATGGGAATAACCACAAAAATGACTTCATTCACACACACACACACACACACACACACACACACACACACACACACACACACACACACACACACACACACACACACACAACACAAAAGACCACAGACCATGGGGTCCCTCAAGGGTCAGTAATTGGACCCCTTTTCTTCAGTCTATATAAGTTAGCCTTGGGTTAAGTGCTTCAGAACACCTATTTTGGTTATCACAGTTCTGCAAATGACACACTGCTATATTTATCAATGTTCCCAAATGTCAGCAGTTCAATTAACACGTCTGGAGCAAATGAACAACTGGATGAACCAAAATTTCCTTCAGCTTATCAAAACAAAAGGGGATAATTACTTTCGGCAAAAAAAGAAAAAGAGGATTGTTGTTAGATCACACCTGGTAGCACTGTCTTTCGAAAGGGATGGAGGGGGTAGGTGGGGATGTTGTGGTCGCGGCGGTGGCCTTTCGCTGTTGTCTGCGTCCTCCGAGTCCTCCGCGTGTTCGAAAAACACTACACACACACACACACACACACACACACACACACACACACACACACACACACACACACACACACACACACACACAACACAAAAGACCACAGACCATGGGGTCCCTCAAGGGTCAGTAATTGGACCCCTTTTCTTCAGTCTATATAAGTTAGCCTTGGGTTAAGTGCTTCAGAACACCTATTTTGGTTATCACGGTTCTGCAAATGACACACTGCTATATTTATCAATGTTCCCAAATGTCAGCAGTTCAATTAACACGTCTGGAGCAAATGAACAACTGGATGAACCAAAATTTCCTTCAGCTTATCAAAACAAAAGGGGATAATTACTTTCGGCAAAAAAAGAAAAAGAGGATTGTTGTTAGATCACACCTGGTAGCACTGTCTTTCGAAAGGGATGGAGGGGGTAGGTGGGGATGTTGTGGTCGCGGCGGTGGCCTTTCGCTGTTGTCTGCGTCCTCCGAGTCCTCCGCGTGTTCGTTTGAATTCAGGCTGAGGTGAGGTGTGAAATCAGAGGTTGGAAATGGAGAAGTTGTTCGAAGAAGATTTTATGTGAACGTTCAAGGGCACAAGCGTGACACAAACAATGGTTGTGATCAGGGCACAAATGCGCAGCGGAAATCTCTCAAGGCAAATCTTAGATACTCTAAACAGGGCGTAGCTCCCAATGGATACTTCACTTTCGGTTTCACGATGACTGTTCCAATGCTTTAGTTTTTTTCCCAAAATTGTTCCAAATGTTTTCTTTTACGAAAAACATAGCTGATGCAGTGCTTTCATTTCTTCAACAATGCTTTCATTTACGAATAACATAACTGTTGCAGCACTTTAGTCTCGAGCAGGTTCGAATAAAACTTAGGGTGTGAAACCGCAAGTCAGCAAGGAGATGCATGCACAGTGTTGTCTGGCGTTTGTCTGCAAAGGTGTCAAAATTATTCCCGTCGAGAAGGCAGTTCAAGTCGAGGTCATATATACTGTATCTGTCGGCGATATGTCGTTCAGCTATTAATGCAAATAGCTAAATAATGGCTTCAAAAGCAAAGACCAAATCCGAAATCCGGGGGTCCGACTCGACACGGACCTGACCTTTGGTCGTCATAGCAAATCAATCACTAAAACAACCCTTTACCAGCTGAAAAACATATCCAGACTGAATGATGGCATGATCCAAGCAGACCAAGAGAAACCTATCCATGCTTTTATCTCCAGTAGACTTGATTGATGTAACGGTCTTATTCTCCTTGAGAGGAGCATCAAACAGTCGCAGTTGATTCAGAACACGGCAGCTCAGGTGACCAGAGCAAAGAGATCAGAACATATTACTTCAGTCCTAAAGGCTTTTTACACTCGCTCCCAGTCATGTTCTGATACCGATCTATAAATCATCGCATCATTTGGATTCGGAATACATTCAAGAAATGCGGATAGAGAAACCCAGTAAGGCTCTGAGTTGTTGCAGACTTGTGTCAATTAGTGTCACCACAAAGTTCAAAACAAACTTGGTGAAGCAGCATTTAGCTGTTATGCTGCATGGAAATGGAATAAGATGACAAACAGAAGTGAAGTCAGCCCCAAATGTAAAAATCTCTATCTTTGCTTGTGTGAAGGAGGTGTGTGTGGGGGGGGGCTTGTGCATGAAACATCCTAGATAAATAAAGCCGCCTTGCCTTGGCTTGCTGCCTGGCTTGTTGCGGCACGACGTGGTACTTTACTAAGCTACTAAAAATAAAAAATAAAAATGACTGCTTAAAATCATCACAGATGAAGCAACCATATGATGAAAAATGTAATCAAATCTGATACCTGTACCGTCTCCCCAAAAAATGGACCATTCCTTGGATTTAAAAAAAATATATACAGGTATATACAGTATGTGTATTACAAAAAAAATTGAAAGAGTTGTCAGAAACCCTACTTTTGGATGCTCGGGGCAATCATAAGCAAAATGATACAATCCAAAATCACATGAAGGTCACGCACACAAGTGCGCACACCACACAGACACACGAAAGTCCACAACAACGTGTCACAAAAGCAGCATGTGAGCAAAGCAAAGCACATGGAAACAAAGAATATTCTCTACTTTTTTCTCTCACGTGTTTCCCCCCAGCGAAAAACAAAACTGTTAAGCTTTTGATTGAATTATTGTCATTGAGTGGTATTTATAGACACGCACTTAATAAACGGCGCCATGTTAGCATCAAGGTTTTGTATTTGCATTTTTATATTTATTTTAGATATATTTGTTTATGCTGTATACAACAATAACGCATTCTTTTTCATTAAAAAAAAAGAGAAATCAATTTAATGAAAAAAGTTCAAGAACGAGAATTCGATTCTGAATTAGATTAATCAAATATAGGGCATGAGGTTCAAAAAAAAGGTTAAGATATGTATGTAAAACATGAAAAAATATATATTTATTAATAAAATAATTGTAATTTTCGTTTTTTGGTTGTATTTTTTTTCCAAATTGAATTAAGCAATTGTTTAAAATGTGACAAGTTCAACCAATATGTGAAATCGCTGTCTGACTATTTTTCAGGTATTATTTACAATTAAATTTAAATATTATTTTCTATTTACATTTTTAAAAGTTATATAATGAGATAAATTAGTCAAAACAAAAATAACTGACTAAATACAAAAACATGAAATAAATTTTGGGTGGGAAAAAAAATGCAAAGAAATATGACATCATGTAAATGCTTGGTAGGTTGGATTATCAGTACATATCTCCATGTATAAATTTTATAATCAGTTGATCAATAAACATGATGTGTGCAATGCATTCTGGGTGTTTTGTGACTCAATCGGGCGTGCGGCTTGTGTTTCACATCAGGCAGCATAAATATTTACATTGAGCATATGACCTCAATTTCCATATGTGGCGTCAGTGATGGAGGGGGCTGATGGAGGGTGGAACGAGGGGCGCCGTGAATGCGGGGGTGGGCGGCTGCAGTCTGGCGGGCCGCCCCCGCGG